TCTTATAAATTGTTTATAATATTTGAAGCCTAAGGGTTTATACTTTTTCTTATATTGACCATCATTTCAAATGTTTATATTGAACGATAATATAATAATATGTAAACYGTAGGTTATTTTAAGAAATAGTTATCTGCAAACATAATATTATATATTAATATTAAATAAGAAAGTTAATTACATTTTTTAAATGAATATTAATTAAAATATAATATAGAGTATATATATAATTATATATAGGTGTCTATATAGTATCTTATAAATTATATACAGTATATAAAATACCTTATTATAAATGAAAATATACCAAATATTTTTCCTCCAATTTAGATTCTGAGCTGAACGATGGATGTATCGATTTTACAGTGGTGTATTTTTTCGTGTGTAGGGATATTTTTAAAGAAACTTTGTGTTGGTACTACGGATTATACTCTATAATAATAGTGTTAGATAAACGGGGTTATGATTATAATTTTAAAATATAATTACAATAATTAACATTAGTTTTTTAACATTTTTGAAATTATTAAACATTTCTGAGACTAGACAAGTGCTAGACTAAATATTTAACAATATACTTTATACCTTAAGTTTATTAACTCAAAAACTACTCGTTTAAATTTTGATTTACACTCTCGTCAAAATTTAAATACAACTATCTATGTAAAAATTTAAAATAAAAAAGGGATGGTTCTTATTTAAAAAATAAAAGTTTGTAACTCCATAGAAAATTTCTCAAGCATTTATTACAATAAATCTCAAAAATTTGAAAATATCATCAAGTATATTTAAAAATTCTGAAAATCATATTTTGACAATTGAATTATTGTAAAAAAATAAGGGATTATACTTGGTGAGTCGCGTTGTATTTATAATATGTGTAAATTTAATGTTATTTACTAAGTACCGATTCATTTTGTTTTATCCACCTCAAATATTCGGATACATTTAGCAAATAGTTCACTCGTAGATTAATAAAAATATTGTTCATAAATTTTGTTATTATTCGTAATTTTTATTTGTACTTTATCAATACGAAATTAATTCAGCTGGGGTTATTTGGGAAAAAACAATAACCATGATAAATTATTGTGATTGCACGACATTAATTTTTAATAATTAAATATAGTATAATAATACGTTGTTATGTTGATGTAATGATGTTTACAAAAATGTAATTAAACTTTGAAACACACTCATATARCATGGGTTGAAAAAATAAATCAACCTACGATTTTACGTCGATTTCCAATACAATGGAAAGTATTATATGTAATGTATAATTTACATAATTCATATACATATCAATTAATATCTGTCATTAAATAAAAAACTTTAATAACATTTTTGAGATTACAAATTAACAAATATCTTAACCCCCGCACGAGTTATATATAATATAGCATATTTCACATAAATATTAACATTAAATATTTCARATAGATGATTTTAAATTGAAATAGGCATTTTTAATGCACTACTGGTCCAATATTGCGGAGTGTGATATTTTTAAATTCTAGAAGTTGTTTTTAATCATTTGAAAAATTTTAACTACTTTTTTCAACGGATAAACTACTCGTTTACTTACTCAAAATAGTAAACTTTCGATTTATTATTATATAGGTACCTATACTACTATTCTTTATTTTAGACATCATTATTAAAACGTTAAAATATATATGTTCGACAAAGTATGGCACAACGGACTCTTCCACAAACTAAAAACAAACTTTCCAGCCCCATATTATTTAATACTCAAATCCTATCTCACTCATCGTTCTTTCCAAGTAAATCTAAACAACTCAATTTCAAACCAATTTATGATTAACGCCGGTGTACCCCAAGGCAGTGATCTTTCTTCTCTTTTATACCTAATTTACACTGCAGATATACCTRCAACCTCTTGYACCATCCTCAATACTTTTGCTGACGACACTTGTATCCTAGCCACCGATTCTGATCCCACAATAACAAGCTTCAAACTCCAACACCACCTCAACTTACTCGAAAACTGGTTCACACTATGGAAAATAAAAATTAATACAAACAAATCTAGCCACATTACTTTCTCCCTTCGCCCAAATAATTGTCCACCAGTCAAACTTTGTAACCAATTATTACCCCAAACAAACCAAGTTAAWTACTTAGRACTCATTTTCGACAAAAGGTTAACTTGGAAAGACCACATATTTGACAAAAGAAAGAAATTAAACTCCAGATTACATCTACTACGTCTTCTTTTACGATCAAAATTAAACCTTAAACTCAAAATCCTTATTTACAAAATGTTGACCTTTCCTCTATGAAATTATGGTATTCAATTTTGGGGTAACGCCGCCCCAAGTAACATTTAAAAAATACAACCATTCCAATCCATCTGCCTTCGCACTATTACAAAATCCCCCTGGTATGTAAGTAACAAAACCCTTCGCTCTGACCTGAGAATAAATTACGTAAACCAAGTCACTAAAACTGCTTACCAAAAACTCCTCAAAAAATTAAGCTCCCATAGAAACCCCAACATTAGTTACCTTGCTTTACAACACATCCCTGACAACCCCCCACGAAGGCTCAAACGTAAATGGGTTAGAGACCTCCTCCATTAATTAGTAAAATACCCAAGTAGGTAGCTTCATTGGGAGCCCTCCTTCATCGTGCCATTTTTTCATGTTATGTAATCCTCTTCATCATTATTACTTGTTGTGCTTAATTGTATAGTTGTATATTTTCTTATTAAAAAAAAAAWAAAAAATAAAATATATGAAATCATCTGAATTTAAACCTAGTTTAAAAATAAGACTTAATTGTTCAAACAATGTATGGCAAATATAGTAACGTTTAGAATAAATTAATAAACTATTTATAATATTAATAATATTAATAATATTTATAATATTAATAATATTTATAATATTATTGGTAAACACTACACTTCAACGAGTTTGTTGTAAAAGTTATTGTAGTAATTAAAAGTTAAAATTTACACCTTGTCAAGATACCACATCCAATAAAATACGATACATAACAGAATGCACACTAAAGTTTAAGACATCCAAGCTCATTTTATTGTACAGTTTGAGTTATAGGCCACTTATAGCAGTAGTACAGGCAATTTTATAATCTTTTTTTAGCTTTAATCTCTTTGAAGCTAACTTAAACTCATTGAATGTTGAAGTCCATCCTATTTTTTCTTTTTTTTTTTAAAAAAAACATCAATTTGGCAAATATTACATTAATAAATGATTGCTTTTTTTTAATGTCTTTAATCTTTTCGTAAATTTAACTTTTGTCTTACAGTTATCCAAGTAAATTTGGCGTGACTTATTTATTTTTTAATTGAGCATATTTTAGGCGGTAGCAATGTTAGGGTATTTTTATTATTTCATCATATTGTTATGCATTAAATGGATCTGTTTCGGTGTTTATACCAAACAGCGAAACAGCCTATATACTATTTGGTACCATTAATTAATTAATTCATACATACTATTCCTTTACCATCAATTGTTCTTATTATTCTTTTTTTTTTTTAACAGATTGAATAAAAAAACTTATTTCCAAAAAAAAAATAAAAATACATACTATTCATTACTGCAGTCTGCAAGATATACAATATACATTATTCTTCAAAATGTTAACGAAATTGGATAGTTAGTAAGTAGATTAGTAGTAATCATGTATTTATGCATAAATGCCGTTTGTTTTAATTTAAAATTAAAATAATAAATAAAAAATAGATCAATATAATTATAATATTATAACTTTTAACAGTGTTAGCTGATCCATATTATACTCTTATAATAGCTATCACGATCCACGAGTGTTAAATGTAATAACTTTTTAAGATTACCCTTAAAACTATGCGTGTGATTTGTATGACGTACGAGTGTAATCCATAAATCAATTACAATGTCTGTAATAATTATTCAAGAGGTTTTAAAATAATAAACGATATCAGGGTTTTTACGAAATAGGTATTATATGGTTTTATTCCATATTTTTGTTAGCAACTTTGATAACAATAGCAAATGTTTAGGCATATATGTTATTTATATGTATGGTTGACTGATATAATTGTATGGTTAATAATATTATTACTGAATTTTTATGAGAATTACAGAAACGTTAAACATATTATGAGAATTTTGTAAAAATTATTTAAAACACATACTTTAATTAATTACGCATTCCTGAAGGAGCAGTTAATTGTTGTAAAGATATATATTAATACACGACTAAGTGTTAAYTACGTGTTCACGAATGAAAATGTGTTCCAGAATCGGCTATTCAAGTCTAAAATGCATAGTATAATTTAAAATGCCATTATATTCGTATGAAACACATATTCTACAGCCCTCCGAATTTAAAAAATGTGTATTAAAACATTACTTTACGTCTTTAAACCGTTCATAAAAGTGTGTAAAAACAAAATTTTCATTTGTAAAGAAAACCAATACAACCTAATTGCACTGTGTTCTTGTATTGTAGGTAATAATGTGAATAATGTAAAATAAACCTACCAATTAATATCCTAAAAAATATCTCTATCAGAGTTTAGATGGTTGTATAGTTAGAAAAATTATAAATTATATAATAACGTAAATATATAAGTTTAACATCAAAAAATTATTAGGCGCTAATTATTATTTTAAAAGTTTCGAATAAACTCAAATTACACTAATAATAAACCATAGTTTTATGTTTTATTAACTAATTGCAATTAGTTTCAAACAAATTTAAACAGTACAGGACCCTTCAAATGAAAATGATTAAAATATTATGATTTACTACATAAATAGCTATTAACTAAATAAATAATCAATCTATGAATATTTTTTGTACGTAATTTTGTTAAATAAGGCAAGATTACAGGTAGTGACAACTGATAGCGTTCCTTGATTTGAATGTTGTATTGACTCGGAAAAATTTCGGAATACTTAAGAGGGCACAACACGCCCTTATTTGTTGTCTCAGTTTTACAAACGCGTAACATAGAAAATTTACGCTCAACAGTTCACGTTTTATTTCGTTAGCTTAAAAATTAAAGTKAATAGACTAACTATGAACTTTACGGTAAGATTATCTGTATTTTGTTGGAAGTATTTTTACGATAATTTAGTTTTTAAGTGAGTTCTGAGTATTTTTATTTAACAATTTATTATATACTATTTATCATAACTCACTTAAAAACTGATGTTGCGCCCTCTTAAGGGGATTAGATACCGGGATTTTCTGTTTTTGATTAGGTAAAACATGTGCGTCATAGGATTTTAGCTTTGTACATTGCCAAATGAACCAAATTTTTCACCAAGTATACTTGAATATCAAATTTCCTGCATTTTTGATTTTAACTTCTCTAAAAATATAAAAACAACAATTTTTAATACAATGTTTTTTGGAATTTAGGAGACAATATCGAAAATCTGAAAATCTCAATCTCAAGTAGTCTTGACGAAAAATTCAAATCTATTTTTAGAATTTTTATCACCACATTAGATCAATTGGTACATTTGACAAAGATTATGTCTAAAATCCTATGTCGCACGTGCATTAAACGAAGACAGAAATAACGGTATCGRACCCCCTTATTTATGTAATATTTTTTATATACCTTTACATAATACATATATAATATACYATTAGAGGACTGAGTGGCCAAGCGTTCTAAGGCGTAGACTGCGACGCGCACCGTCGCAGGTTCGAACCTTGGTCACCGGCGGCACCTCTCTTCGGGCAGCCACCGTGTCTGGACTCTGGAGAGGGAGGCAGCCATCCCCCACCCCGGMATGGCAGAAACCTATTGGTGCCCACTAGGAATTCTGCTAAATTAGGCGTCCGAACTAGGCTTTCGTAAGTTATATAATATATATAAATKACTTAAAAAACTTCAAAAAAAATTAGGCCATTGTKTGTAAAATTCAAAATAAGATTTAAAATTGAATTTATTGTTTTATAATTCAAACTTACTGTTGAGAAATCAACGTTTTAAAAATGCTAAACAAATTAGTTTTGCTATATAAACTCATAAACCAATAAAATTAATAACTTTGACGTATGTAGKTAGGTACCTACGTGTAAATAAAAAAACAATTMATTAAATGTGTGTCAAAATATTTTAATTGAGAGCAATGGGAAAAATGTAATATTGTAAAATATAATAAGAAAAGGAACACGACTATGAATAAAACTGGCAATAAATTACTTTAAAAAAATGTCACGCAATACAAAAATTTCAAAATTGAATCCGTCGTTACTTAATTCAAACCTTCTGTAAAGAGAGTTACCTACGTTTTACTGTATAAGTAAAAAAAAATGCACAGTTCACTTGATACTTGAAAGCGTTGCATGGTTGCACCTTAAACTCGATATGGTAAATAATATGTTAAGTTGAACACTTGAATGCATATTCTTATAAAATATATTATGTAATAAAATGTTAAATTTAATTAGGAAAATTATACTACAATAATAACCAGAAACAATAATTGAGAATTGGATATGAAGTATCTGGGTACTTCAATTAATTTTTTTCTTAAATTCAAAGCAATCACTATTTATTACCGTCTGCTTATCAAATTGTATAACATAACTTAGATAGGAAATATTAAAAGTTTCCATACTAATATTTTTCATGGAATAGTTTTTACAATGCAAAACCAACTATATTTCGTTAAAAAAATAACAATTACATCTACAGTTGTCACAACAACAAAAATTACTCTGCTATATAGGTAGTAGTTGTCATGATGACGTGTACCTTGTAATAAGTTGTTGAAAACCATAATGGTTATGTTACATTTGAATTCAATAATAAATCATTGCATACGGAAAACGATTGTGAGTGAGAGGCCTGTCTACTATAGCCTATATAATATTTAGGTAACTTTCTAAGGATATTTTATTGTTTATTTAAACTTTATACAAAACTATATTAGTAATT